TGACACTTGTTGTGGAATGTTGCAGACAAGTCGACTCACATGCATAGTCTGTATCATAACTAATTCTCACCTGGCACTGTCAAAGTGTTTGGTTGACACAAAAGCCACCCACGATGTGAAAGCCGTTTTGGCTTCCCAGCTTTCCAGCCAGGTGACTCTGAGTTTGATGGATCGAATTTTGAAATCATGTTCAACTTGTCATTGACATTCCATTGGCAAACAGAAGACGATGACTGAACAAGAAACACACTGCAATTGACCTTCACTGCAATTGACATTGACTGCATCTGGCTCCCCACTGATTCCTTTGCTGCCCCATGTCCAGCAGCATGATGTTCTTCCAGCAGATCAATGGTCGCAACCAGCATCAAGCCTTTGGCGATGAGCTATTCCAACAAAGGGCTCGCCGAAGGTGACTTGGCCGCAATGTTTTCAGATTTGCCGAATTCTGAATAATGTTTGCTGAAAGCTTCAGACTGAATGCCTTGATTGATTCTTGCCTTTGTCACCTTTTTTCAGCAACATCGACCTAGGATGATGGATGATGTGCTGTCAGTGTCATCATCGCGGTCAAGCGATGAGGACTGGGAAGACTTGCTTTTGGAGCGTCAGAGGAAGAGACAGAAGTGTGACGACACTGATCGGACCACATGGCCAAAGGTTCCGGAGCCAGAGTTTCCACCGTCTTGGAAGTTGAATCCAGAGACACCAATGACACCAATGTTTGTGGCACCAGGGAAGACACCACTAACACCAATGTTTGTGGAACCAAGCCAGGCTCCAGGCAAGCCAAGGCTGGTGTTGAAGCCATCCAAGTCCGTCAAACAGCCGCCATCAGTCACCGTTGAAATTGCCAATGTCTCTCCTTTGGGTGCCATCAAAGTCACCGGGCACATCAAATGGGAAGGAATGCCTGGTAGCTTCTCTATGTTGGTGCCCGGCATGCAAGTGATTGAAGTGAAGGAGAAAGGGGCCCCAAGTGGAATCTACGCCTGATTGGCTTGATTGTCGTGGAAAGCTACTTTTGCAACTTGCATCTGGGACGCGAAAGTCGTTCCCTCGAATAATAGTCGTCTAGCGGAGCCATTTTTGAACGCGAACGACGTTCCGAAATTCCGCTTTTAAATTAGCACCAATTTGGAGTATGTCATGATGACATCGTCAGGATCTGATGAAAAAGTGCTGGGCTGCGTGCTGCGCTGTTGACAATGACAATCTTGTTGGCATGGTCAACATGTGTATTAAGCATTCACTGCCTTTTAAACATCACTGACTTGTCTATCCCCCTGAGGTCTTTCTGCTTCCCCGCTTGGAGTAGCCGTCGAAGCGAAGAAAAAGGGGAGTGTCTTCGGAAAGCTGTTGGGTGACTGTCAATGACATCCTAGGGAAATGAATTCCTGGTGACATTCTTGAGAACTAAAGTCTAGTCAGTGAATTATTGCAACAATCGGTCACTAACATACTTGAGCAAGTCCAGTCATTGACACACGTGCCATGGTCAAAAATTATCATTGGGTTAGTTGCCAAAGGGGATAGTCATCTAACCAGTCATCAATGTGTTGGTTGGGGTTTGGAATGTCGGATCAGAATCCATTAATTAAATTTCAATATGTTTGACCATGGCACAAATTTGATTTTCAGGTCATTGACTTTCTTCAGTTTCGCAGTCATTGACTCCATCAAATCACTCACACATGGCTAAAAGCTCACTGAACGTCGGTTGGAATAAATCAAATTATGGCAAGACTTAGGCAAGACTTCCCCAAATAAATTTAAATCATAGTTGGGTTAATACACAACCATTCATCTAATCATGTCAATGACTACCAGTAAATTGTAGTTATCCTGGCAGTTAGTTACGATGGATGATGTTGATGATGAGGATGAAGATGGGGAACAATGTGATATACAGGAGTCCTTATTATAGATGATGATTATATTCTTTGTCATCCAATCTTGAGTTTATGATCCCTATACATCAACCAAACATCGAAAGAATAAAAAGAATATCTTAACGGACAGCCAGATGTATATGTATATGTATATGTGTATGTGTAAATGTATGTAGTATATATATATACATATGTAAGAAATAGGAAGTAGATACATAGAACATGTATATATGACTATAAGTAGCACGTAGGTGCTTTGAGGGAGTATGTGTGCTACGTAGGTCGTCTAAAACGTAGCATGTACCTAGTGAATGCGAGGCTGGTAGTCAGAAATGCTGCAAAGACCAAGCAAATACGAGGCTGGACCTTGGAAATGCTGCCAATAGCTTGCAAATAGAAGGGAAGGGGGTGCGGGGACCCATCCCATGGGGGGTGGGAACACGGGACACGGGACCATATATATATAATATTTATATATATATATATGTAGATAGTCTATTTATGTAGTTGAGAAGCTGAGAGCGATTTTGTGCAAAAGTGCCCTAAATCAGATGCTTGCGCCAGTCCTCTGAAGCTTCTTCTGATTGGCACCGGTCTCCCAGGTGACTGCAGCTGCCGTCCGTGGGCAACACCGTGGTGTTGGCATCATCTGAGACGTCAACCTCGAAAGTCATGCTTCAGATCATCTTAAGACTCTCTTAAGATTTAAGTGCACTTGGTGCACCCAGCATGACATAGCCCTTGCCTCTGCCCGGCCTTGTCGTTTCTCGAAAAAAGGAAGTGTCATCATGTAAAAATGATTATATAATAATCAAGGCATTCACCGCTCAGCCAATGAGGGGTGTCAAACACCCCGGGCCCTGGCCATGCCTCGTCATCCTCAAATCCAAAGTCTGCGGGTTGAAGTGGACGCTCCGTTGGGGGTTTTTCCGGTTGGAACGGCTCACAAAGATTGCCTTAGCAAAGCACGAGCATGTTCCACTGCAAGCAGCATCCTTGAGACGGGTGGGGAGCCACGAGTGAAGACTCGAAGACACAATCTCCTTTTGTGACCATCGTACCACTGACACAAAGTTGCGTCAACCAGCAAAGCAGTGCAAAACACCATGTCGAAATATCTAGCCAATCAATCAATTTGTATCAATGTGTGTCATAAGATTCATAAGTTTGAAACGAGGCACTGTTGTCAACAATTCCTAAGGCCTCTTGAGACAGCGCTGGCGGTTCGGATGACGGAGCCAGGCTGTCGGGTGGACCTTGGCATCAGGCCGGGGCTAAATGTGAGCAAGGACCGGAGAACTGACGGTCAGAAGGCAGACATTCATTGAAGCCTATCAATATTTTGCAAGCTCTTCTGCCTAGAGACCGCATGCCATACCTTAAGCACATTTCACATGAATGTCACTCGACTGCAAACAATCTAAGGTTGAGTCGTCAAAATGTGGCAAGTTGAAACCACAGCTTGCCATCATGACAAAGGAACATAGTTCATCAAGGTAATCCTAAATTTGAAATAATTTGAATACCTTTTTTCCTCTATCCGACGCTATCCGTTTTCTTTGGAATACGCATCAAGTTTAATGCCACGCCGAGGGACTCAAGTGCCTTGAGTCCATGGAGGCACCCTCTGAATCTGCCGTGGCTTTCTCCGCCGTCTCCTTGAAAATCACAGGCCGTTGGTGTGACACCTGGTGTGCCTTCATGCTCTATCCTACCATCCCTGCACAAAAAAAATTGCAAGAAATTTGGGGTGAGGATGGCTGAGGCTGTTTGCCTCACGAAACGTTCATGCAAACCTTACATTCAGCAGTGAAAATATTTGCACTTTAGACGCCACGTCCCCAACTGCAGCATTGTGGAGAAAGGAACGGTTTTTTGGGCAAGGTTTGAACATGTTATATATTCACACTCTACACAATTTTGTACAACTTTGCCAGTGAAACACCAAATGAGAAATGCCACTCCTTGATCTGTTCAGGCACAGTGCTAGGTGGAAGCCATGTATTGCCTTGGTGGCAGGAAGTGATCCATCCAGCAAAGCACTCGCATGTAAAAACAACACTATCAACACTCATGTCCATTCATTTCCAACATTGTCTGTCCCATCTTGTGCAATCGCTTTGCGACATTTTGAATGAAGGAAATGAGCCTGTTGGGCGAGAGCGAGGCCTATACACTGATTTTGTCAGTAGCATGTTTCAGCATGTGGATGTGATGTGAAATTCCCAATCAATTGGCATACGGAAGTAAAAGCCAGTAAAACAGTTCAGACTTTTCCTTTCACATTCGTACGCAGGGAGTGCTTTTGGGTAATTACCCCATAGAGCAACAAAGCCAGGATGGCAACAGGCAACAATCTAAACCCAAAAGGCCAAGTTTTCACATGGCCAAGACATGAAATCTGACTCTGCGCTACCCTTGTTCCTCGCTTTTTCCAACGAAACAGCAGCTCCGAAGGATCTTCGCCTTCAAGCGGGTCCTCTTTTGACCCTCTTGATCATCTGCAAAAAAGGAGAGCCGCCTTCTCTGTATACATTGGGTTTTCTTTGCTGCATGGTTGTTAAACTATTGGTCTGGCCGCCAGTCTGGCCCAATTCCATGAACTTGATGCCAAAAAGGTGATAAATACAGATGGAATCAAATGGATTCAAATGGATCAATTGTATTCAATATTACTCAATTAATTATGGGAAATCCTACGGCCGCTCACATGTGTTGTTTCCATGCTTTGATCGTGGATTGGGCTTTTGAACCTGATAGAGTTGAGTGGATTTTTGTATGCTGTGGAATGCGCACACTCTTTTGAGTACATTGCCATACATTGCCATAATTTGCCATATCTCTGTATACTACGTATAAAGATGTGTATAAAGTATAAACGGGCATGTGGCCTGTAGATAATTTACGTGGCTGTAGATGGTTCAACGACCTTGAACTGAATAATATTGAACGTGGATCTCCTCATGCACGGCCTACAACTCAAAGTGCTCAATTATGATATGGGCTTCCGGAGCCCGCAGGGCTGAAGGACTATGCTCAAGCCACAGTTGTCTCTGACGTCATGAGCAGTCTCCAGCAAAGAATATGCACAGAGCACAGCTAGGGCCGCTAGGGCTGCCCCGCAAATTGCGGTGGCATGATATGCAGCGGCTGGTAATACTGCGGATACTGGATGGGCTGCATCTGAGCCATGGGGCCTGAGGGCATTGCCGTCAGGGCTGCTGGCACCGGCATTGGCGCCTGCATAAATGGCATTGATTGCATTGATGGCATTGATGAGGTCGTAGGCATGGGTGTTTCATCCATGATGGGGCGCTCCTCGTCCTGAGGAGCTGCTTTCAAGGCTCTCGTCTTCTTGGGTTTCCTTGCAGCCAGGAAGTAGGTAGCACCAGCTATGCCAAAGATTGCACCCACCACGCCCGCGATAGCAAGGAGCCCCAGGAGGAAGGTGGCTGCATCACTGCGTTTGGACACCGTAGAAGCTCCAGCAACCAGTGTCTTGTCCTTGCCTCCCAGGCTATCAGCATCATGCAAATCCTTGGCTCCCGACTTGCCCATATCGGAGATGGCAATGGGGCCAGAGCGTCTGAAACTGGATGCGGCGGCGGGACAAAGTCTGGGCCCACTGATGGCCATTGGATCGTCCCTGACCTCCGCATCAGCATCTGAAACGAGCCAGCAGCCACCTGACCGAGCTGGGAAAGTTCCAGCCCATCGTGAGCCGAGCAACGAATCAAACTTACCAGTACAGTCCAAGTACCAAACAAAAACAGCATCCGACTATTTCACATCTTTGAATTCAGAAGTATAGGCTGCAATTATTTGTATCGCTCTAGCTGTCTTACTCCGAAATTCGTTAATGGACATCTCTCCCGCTCGCCGCATCAGGGAGACATGCACAATGATATCAATCTTCAATCCAACTTCAAGTTTATCTATTTTTATAGGACCAATACCTCTGTCAACTCACACATATCAATCAGTCTGCCCATCCACATCATATTACTATATATATATATTACTCATCGATCAGCAGGTTCAAGGTTCCAAAAATCCAACGGATAGGAAACACAAACCAATATCAATGAGAATGCGGTCGAGGGAGGGAGCGGCCTTTTAGTGGCGTAGTATCCCCCTTCCAAGTGAATTTCTTACATGTGGGGTTCGCTGCACAACTCTGCTGGCAAGATATCGCGTTGATCACATAGAGGCCGTCAGGGCCACTGCTAATCTTGTCGGCCGTGACCTGAGGTGAACTGGCAACTGGCCAAAACCAGCTGACTCGCTGGTGGCTGTTTTGGTGTCAATGGATTGCTCCTGGTTTGAAAGAGAAAACACATGTGTTTTTCGAGTGACCCCCTACCAACTCACCATCTATTTGATATAAATTTGACAACTAGTATGGCGCTTTATCTGGCACATATTGCGACATTTTATCTGGAATTCTATCTGGCATATATTTTCTGACATTTTATCTGACTTCTTTTTCTGACATTGTATTGATTGTATTGTATATATCATAATATATCTATCCGAAAGAGGAAGCTGTTCGTGTAGAGGAAGCTGGCGAGCACGATGTGTTGGCGAGGAAGCTGGCAAGCAGAGCAGAGAAGAAGGAAAAGGAGAAGGAACAGGCCAGAATAGGAGGAGGAGAAAGAAAGAAACAGCTGACACCAAATCTAGAGACTATCACCTCGCAGGCGGGGAAAAATGATTCTGCAACCAGTTGTTTGAGTGCAGTTTGACATTAAAAACAAAACCTGTCTATAAGTATCTTTGAGAGGAGGACTAGCAACCAAATGTGTTTTGATTTCAAAGGGTAGGGGGTAGCTGTACCTGCAGCGATCTAATATAGCCCGAGCCACATAAGCCTTGCCCCTTTCAGAACAGCTTGGCTTCATGTCTGTGGGGTCTGACATAGCCATTGCACCGGCCACCAGAATAGCGAAGCGAAACATGATGGGTTTTTTGAAATGATTGGAGGCGCCCAATTGCAGGAACTGTTTGTTTCAAGCAGGCTTGGGCCAAGCAAAATCAAGCAAACTCCGACATGATGGATTGATATGGATTGATATGAGCAATCTCGGAACTCAAGGTTCACAAAAATGACATCAACACATTTGAGAAGGTCGCATTCCCTTGCCGCACGTTTGCACAAAAATATTGCAAAATTTGGGGTGCATCGCCTAAAGGAAAATGATGTGTATGTGATGTGTATGTGCAGGTGCGCCAAGGTGCAATGCAGTAGGTCAACTTCTGCACCGATTCGGTGCGCCGCGTTCAACATGGAGATCCAGCGAAACGCTTCTGACTCCTCCTCTGCTTCTAATCGAAGCCTGCAGAAACAAGGGATTGGAAATGATTGGAAAGACATGATTCATCACATGTTCTGGAGCTGTGGGAAATTGAGGAATCATGAGTAACCAGTTCAATCATCCTCATGGCTGCTCACAAGAATTCATGCAATTAGGATGTCCTTATTGCAGCAGTGGCCATGCAAGTTGATAGCTGGCCTCTTTCCTTTGGTGCGCACAGTAAACGGGTAGCTGCCCGGTAAGCACCGTCTGGGCCGTGAATGACAATGCTGTCCACAATCCTCAATGGCAATGGTCATCACGAAATATCACAAGGGTTCACAAGGAACATTGCAGCAAAAACTCATAAAAACTCTACATGAGTCCTTGACAACCAGGGGTCACAAGCTTTAAAAGCTATATAGACAGTCAACACAGGCCGGTTGTGATCTTGTGTACAAAATGGTATATACTTATGCTTGCCTACTCTCTGTACCTTACAAGGAAAAACTACTGCCTCAGCCTGACTTGATCCATAGAATGCAGATTTGTTTTTCCTCTCTCTCTCTCTCTCTGGATTCTGGTGAAAAGTCAAGTGACTGTCTGTCTGCCTTTCACAACCCGGCCATGCACTTTCGATTTACTGATTCATCCAGTATTTATATTCGAAACCATTCGGTTCAAGAGGATGAAGAGAATTGCATGCCTACCATTCCTATACCCATTGCAGCAGCATTCCTCTATATTTTATATAGGTGCTGCAATATCTTCTGAGGATCAAATTATAGAACTCGCTATTGTTTTTTTGCGTTTGCATATGTTTGCATTCTGTTTGCATTCTGTTTGCATTCTGTTTGCATTCTGTTTGCATTCTGTTTGCATCATTCTACATCTGTTTACCGCACCCATCAAGCAAACGACTCCAGAAGAACATATTAATGCAACCGAGGCTCAGCATCAGGCTCATAACTATGGCCCAGTTGTGCCCCTAAGATGTCTACGAAAGGGATGGGTGTGGAGGCCTGAAACGAGCTGCTGAAGTTCGCTGAGAGAAGTGGCGCCAATGCCACAGGATTTGATGAAACGCTAGCGACAGTTGCATAAAACAATGCCTCAAACTGCATCAGTCACTAGAGGGGTGATAAACATGATTTCTGATTTCTAGCAGCATATAATATATATATATACAGCCGTACTCATAACACCAAACCTCGGGGCATCTGATACCTACAGTACATAAGTGTCTGACCCTTCTCGAACAGCCATGTCTTTCTTGAGGAAATGCCACACATACCGCTCCTCCAGTCCAACAGTCTCCTGGCCTGAGCCTGCCGTGATTCTGTGTAAGTATAGTAGAAGATTCGCTTGTCAAAGTCCAGAATGAAAAACCTGAGGAAACGGAAAGGCGGAAACATGTTTTGGAGTGTGAACCATCACAAGTGACACAAGTGGTTGTGATAGCAATGTGGGGCACTAGCTGCAAGGTCTCATGACCACCACGGGAACGACAAGACACAAAGAAGTTAGAAGTATGATTTAGCAATCCCCACCTCCTTTTACTTACTAAACATACCCCAAATACTAAAAACTAGCGGGTGTGCGCTAAATTTTGGAAAGTTTCAGACTGGCCAATTTGATTTTTAATTGATCCCCTTTCGAGAACAAATTTAAAATTAAGGTCCCATTTCAGGGTTTTACCCCCTAATAGTATAAAAACTATTCAACCCTTATTAGGGTCCGTCTTTTAAGGTCGGAAAAAAAATAATTTTATATATTAAGGTTTTAAATTATTATATAGGGGAAAGCTCCGAAATCCAATTTTGGGCAATCTTTTAATTAGATTTTAAAAGGAAATCTAATCGGTTTTGAAATAGAAAAAACATAATATTAGGGTTAGGGGCAAGCTTCGAAATCCAATTTTGGGCAACATATAATCTTAATTAGATTTTAAAAGGAAATCTAATCGATTTTGAAATAGAAAACATAGTTTTTTTATATTATATAAAGAGTTTTTAATTTAATATTAGGGGAAAGCTTCGAAATCGAATTGTTGGCAATATTCTAATTAGATTTTAAAAGGAAATCAAATCGATTTTGAAATAGAAAGAATTAGTTTTTATATTAGGACTTAATTTAATATTAGGGGAAAGCTTCGCACCCTAATACTAAATACCCCCTAATACTAAAAACTCCTCCAGGTGTTTATTAAATATTTTTGGGGGAGGGGGGGGCCGCGGTTTAGTAATAGGGGGAAGGGATAGTAATATATTATATATATATTATAATTATTAAACAACAAACATCAACAAATAAACATCAAGCAACAGCACAAACATGCACAAACCACATCGAGGCACCTTCGTCCCATACTCTGGAACCACTTGGCATTGGAACCATCACTCCGCGCTTTGATCAGCCATGCTGAAGCTCGACCCTTTTGGGTGAAGCGGGGATCATTCGTACTGGCTCGCTTCGGCTGGGCGGCCCGCATCGGACCAGGGGCTATACCGTTCTCTACGCTCGTCCTGGATGGGCTCGTCCTTGTCACCCCCCGTTCTCTGCGCCTGGAGGCAGTGCGCTCGTTCTTGCCGCCCTGATTTTCGGCGGCTCAAACGGCTCACAGCTCCAATGTCGCGCTCTGCTTCTGCCTTTGAGCCTAAAAATATCAAAGACCATTCAACCATGGCCATGTTCCATCCATTTCCAATCATGCCACAAAATGCCAAGACACGTGAATTTTGACCTCTGAAATCTGCCTCTTGCACCCAACAAAGGCTACAAACATGTAAACCATGTAAAATCATGTAAATATACACAGGGAACACTATATACAACAACAACATTGGAATCTGTCAGCGTTTCAAAATTTACATGCAATATCATGCAATATAATACCACCAGCCACAATATGCGACAATATCGACAATACATCGTTGTCAGGAAGGCATTGGAGACCAACTCTATAGCCTTGCACTTCAGAGCAATCATGAAAGTATGACCGCTGCATGTCGCGGATCAGCAGATCCCAAATTGGATGATATTGGATGTTGTTCAAAGCAAGGACTGTGTTTTTCCATTAGCTTGCTCCCATCTGGATCCGAAAAAAACATTATTTCGTGTACTGGATGGTCGCCCTCAAGCAACAGGCCGGTCTGCAACAACTATTGCTCCTGAATTGTAGACTTGGTCCTCCAATGACAAACCAGCGTTTGCTACGCACTTTGAATTCTTCCTGGTTGTCCACGGAAAATAATTCAAAAGAAAGACTGCGATCAGCAGGCAAAAGGAGACGAATTGAAGCAGTCGACCTAAATCGACCTAATATCTCCATATTCCAATTTGAAAAATGTTCAAAGTTGCAGCATCGTTTTTTAGCCTCTCCTGAGCCTCTTCTTTGGAAGCCCTGCAGTTGCAGTGGAACCAAGTGAAAAACAGTAACTCGATGTGACATAATTGGCCCTTCACGTGAATCACATTATATAGATTTCCTATATTTGTTGTGAGTGCTTTGTTTAAAATATTTTACAATACCCTTTTATACCCTTTTTGGGCCATTGGCTCTGCTCTACACAGTCTCGAGTTATCTTTTAGAATACCCCTCTGAAGAAAGCTTGCTGACCTAAACCACAGACATGACACCCCGTTCAATCGTACTAATCAATCTTTGTGTCTATGCTTGAAATGAGCGAGTTCACTGGTCACCTTCGTTGCGTTGCAGCCCAAAAAAATACCACATATACTATATATTACGATTTGTTTGCACTTTTGTCCTAACACCACGCCTTAAAGCAATGTCACCAATGCTCTGCTTGTACTTTGGCCGTGGCACAGCTGACACAACTGAGGAGTACCTGCAGCCACCTGGTGAAATTCAAAGCAGCAGGAAAATGAAGGCCCAAAGGCAGCGAGGGAAAAGAATGTGTATTTACAGCGTAAAACGGTAAAACACGACTAAACACATACACAAAACAAGTTGCATTAACATGTGATTTACATTTCGCACAGGCAAATCAACAACTAATTGGTATGGAGGGACCAAGGCATGTAAAAAGGATTTGCCAAACATGAAGCTCCATCATCAAATTACAAAGGAGTCATTGCTCTGAATATCTTTGAACCATCTTGGCGGGCACAGCCTTCCTCCCGTTCTTTGTTCAGGGCCAGCCTCGTGGTGCCCCTAGAATGCCACGGATGGCTGGAGCGATTGTCTGCATATGACAGGCGCATGAAACAATCGACCGGGCGTAGTCGTAGTGCATATTTGGACGATTTCCACATCTGAAATGAGGCGACAAACAGAGATAGATGTCCTCGCTCAAAAACCAGTGCTCCGATGTGATTCTGATGTGTTGGCAAGTTCTTTGCTGCCTCCTTGCAACAAGAACAGAAGAATTGCATAGAATTGCAATCAATCTACCTGATCCCTATCATTCAAAGCTGTGACTGTGCTAGGTGGGACGGTCCAAAACGATCCAAACATATAAGAATTTATAGAAGGGGGGTGCGCATGGAGAAAAATCTTGGAACACCTTGCTTTGTTTTTTTTTTTTTCTGTGCTTCATGCTGAGATACCCTCAACGGAGGTGAAAGCTGCAGTAAATGAGTTTATGTCCATCCTCTAACATTGACACGAGTTGGCGATGAACAATGCGACTCTTGCCCTTCACACTGCCGTTGATAAAAAAATCACACAAACCGCAAACATGTAAGATTGTGATCACACGAAACGATATCAAGAACATTCAAGAACATTCAAGAACCATACCAATACTACCGGTAGGATGCGCCAACCCACATTGCACCTTGCATTTTGCTGCACTGCTGGCTTCTCGGTCCGTCAAGGGTTGCGAAAAAAGTCCAGCATTCTAGCCGAAAAGGAGGTCATTTTCACCGCCCGCTGAGGTGAAGGCAAACCATGCTTCAACTGAACGGAGAATATTGGAAAGGTGTATGTCACTAGGATCCCATATCATCCACTTCATAAATCTTCATAATATAACCCAATATCAACCAACATCAATATGCCAGAGCTGTTCGGTGATTCTTAATTATACTTTGGCATGCTGATGAGCTGATGATCTTAATGGAACGGGAGTGCCATACGCTCTAATAGGAGATTCCTTCCCTTGTGGCGGTTTGCCTCCAGCTGCAGCTGCACAGCAGTTTAACTGCTTGCTGTCAACGGTGGTCTATACAACCTCGTTCCTCGTCCGAATGGCGGACCAAATGCTTGTGAGTCCTGGTGAAAGCCAACCTGGCGGTCGCAACACGTTTGCTTTACAGTTTTACTGTATCTGCACAAAGGCCTGGACATGGTATGGGGCCTCCGCCCTTCCCTTCAAAGTGCTGCTTACGAGTAAGCCATGGCTATGACTCATGGATAATTACTCATGGCATCTCAATGGACAAATTGGACAAACAATCAATGATCTGTCAAAAGTTTCTACACAGCATGCACCGAACACGCACAAAACTGTGTCTTGAGACCCGCAGGCAAGACTTCCACCATCAAGGCGGCCCAAATGCCCAGCAGTTCAAGAACTTTGGAGCGAGTACCATTGGCGCAACTTCCCCAAAGCCAAGAAGAAAGTAATTGGAAGTTAGAGTTTGTTGCCGAATAGGACAGTGTGGATATGAAATAAAAGAGGCTGGCTCAACTAGAGATAGTATTAGAATTCTGGTCATGAGATGACATATTATTGATTCATATTGGCCATTGGCTATGGCAAACTTTGCGCTTACCTTGCACCGCATCCAAAGGCTATATAGGTTAGATAGATAGGTGCAGAATGGTGCACTTATAGGTGCAAGAGGGGCTGGTGAACAGCAAGACAGCTGCTATGATGCCGGGATGCTTGATTCGTTGCAAGCTGGGCACGAGCTGTCGGCTGCATGTGCTGGAAAGCCAGGTGACAGGTGACATGTCCATGTCCTGTCTTTGCCTTACTTTGTTGCTCAGAGTCCGCTGCCCACCTGAGGATGCTATCTGTATTTCAAATCTTTCAATTTAAAGGATGCAAAACAAGTGGAATCCAGCACTGGGTAAAACAATTGGGATGCCAATAGCTACAGTGCCACAGGATCCAGGTCTACAGCTCATGACTCTTTGTAATACATCACATGTCACAAGTACTGGATGGCATTTAAGCCCCTCTGCCACCAAAGTCATGGAATCCCACGATGAGCGGCTGTTGCTTCAGGCCAATATTGGTAGAATTTGGAAGAGTACGTCGACGTTGCGCCAGCTCCCAAATTCCACGACTACGCAAGCTGATCTTGGAACAGCCATTGCAGAAATGTATCGATTTCTACGGTACCCCTTGAGGTACCCAAGGCAGAGAACAGAGACTGAATCATCGCGTCAGTCACACCTGTGATTGCCGCAAAAAAGGGAGAGAGACAGTGGCAGGAAGCGAAGGCATCACACACACATGCACTAGTCATAAACTGTGCACACACAAACCCTCTTTACCCTGGACCCGCACCTTTGTCCAAAGCCTCCAGCAAGGCTTTCATCCCCACTGCGTTCAGCTGCAAGGTATGTCTCTTCAAGATCCGTTGCAACTTCTGCTGCGAGCCTAGCCAAATTACATCCAAATGACCAACGGGTGGCCAGAGTCCCATAGTGCATGATCCTTGAAAGAACAGCGGCTCAAAGTCAACAAATCCAAGATTGCTGCATGGGTGGTTCAAGTGAAGCAGCACAGTACCAATCGCACTACCCGTACTAGTATATCAGTTCCAGAACCCCTCGGCACCTCTGGCTCCTTTGGCCAATGGCAGGTTCTCAAAGTCATCGCCCTGTCATTTAGTGCTTGTCTGGATGTCCACCAGGTGAATGGCATGTTGACATGAAAACCAGATGCTCAATGGCATCTCATGGCGCTGAAACTTGATCACCGTGCATCTCGAAGGACGTACATTAATATCATTAATTATGTTGAGGAAAGTGGGCGCGTGACTATGCCCACCAGAAGCTATCGCCATCGCCCATATCTGCCCATATCTGCCCGACATCGGCCATGGCCTGAAAGGCAGCGAGCAGGGCCTGCGCCACACCTCGATGCCATGGCTTGGAGGATAAAGCACGGCGCAAAGCCCAGTGTGCCTCCAGGTCCACCTGGCCCAGTTCCACGATAGCCCTCCTAACATATTTGCTTTCGTAGCTCTCACCTCCCACGCCTTCAAGTCTAGGTCATGAACTTCAAATTCTACAACCGAGATCACAATTCAATGATATGGATCACATACATTTACATACATTTACATTTAAGACTTTACATGCATATTTACCTGCTGCACTTGGATTTCGACTGACGCGTCTTCTGAAAGGACCTGCAGCTCCGGCAGCTCGGGCTCATCGCCGGAAGCATTCTCACGGTGTTGCTTGGTGTCTTCCACGAGGTGGATCAGCTGTGACTGACGCGACTGGAAGCTGAACATTGGGAAAGGTGAAACATGGTGAAAACATCACATCAATGGCAGCTGACATCAACCGACTAGTCTGCCAAAATTAATAAGGCAAGAAGAGTGAATTCAACTCCCTCGGCCTGGTGTGTTTTGTGGATATTCTTGTGATACATTTTATGATAGCTTTAGCTTCACTAGATTGCTTCTTCGACAGAGCTTTGTTTTTGCTACCCCACCTCCCTCCCCCCTCGACATATACCCTATAGATCCCTATAGTCAAGCATAGTCTAGTCTCGTCTCGTCGCGTCTCTTCTCAAGCAAACTAGCACTGAAGCACTGAACTTGTTTACATCATCGTCTCGGTGGTCATCGTCCTCCTCCTCCTCCTCATCATCAGCTTCTTCATCATCATCATCATCATCATCATCATCATCAGAATCATCATCATTATCCATCATCATCATCAGCATCAGTATCAGCATCAGCATAATCTTCTGTTTCCTGCCTTCATCCTCCTTCATCCTCCTTCATCCTCTCATGTCCGTCTTCTCTCTTCTCTTTCTTTCCGCCGGCTCGCCCCTGTGATGCGTTTTCTCCACTTCCAGGCAGAAGGTACGTTCTAACCTGCCACTTTTGCGTCCAACACTTTCCATAAGCACCTGCCACCGCTGCTCTTCTTCTGCAGTCACTGCCTTCTCCGCATGCACTCTCACAGGCATGCCGCTTGCATCTACATACTTCACTCCTTTCTGTTCAATCTTCACGGTCTTGCACACACCAGCTTCTACACAAATCAACTTTTACACCAACCAGCTTTTACACAAACCCGCCGCTTTTACACAAACTCACTTTTCCACAAACCACCTTTTACACCAACCAGCTCTTACACAAACAAGCTTTTACACACACACAAGCTTCTACACAAACCAACCTTTTAGACCAACCAGCTTTACACAACCCCTGCTTTGGGTCTGTAGGCCACAGGCCACAGGGCCGGAATGCCGAAGGCCGCTAAATAAATAATATTACCATGTATATAATGTGTACAGTAAGTTGTGTGCGTATGTCGAAATAAGGCACAGATCCTCCTGCTCACACTGCATCTTTTGTTGTCCTTTCGCAGCGACGGGTATCGATGGGTTCTGTTGCAAAGAACGTTGGCTCAGCAAATGCCTTCGCAATGCGAAGCAACCGGCCATTTAAACTGCTGGCCAAGAGTAAAGCCGCGCAGCAGGCCGCCTACGGCAAAGAATTAGACCTCCAGCGCACAATGCCCTTCAAGCATGGGAAAACCTTTGCAGCTTTAACGCCCTCCAGGCGCAATCCTTCGAAGATATCATGTAGAATCAATTGCGTGCTATTGACTGTTGACATCTGTCGTAGTTGAATGATTTGTTTTGCTATTTCAAGGTATGTCTTGCTTCTGTGCTTTTCTCCAAAGGCCGGGCCCTAGCGACTTGACTGAAGTTCGTGGTCGCAGGCCTTTCCCAAAATGTCTTTGGCCGACCGCGGCCAATGCGCGGCAGTCTGTGGCCAAGACTTACAAAACAAGCTTGTGCGGCAATGTCTTTTGTGGTCTGCCAGCCACTTGAGCTGTCAGCTTCCTTGGGAGACCTGTAAGTCCCCAGGTTTCCTGACCCCCAGGAGGCAGGATGGACATGAAAATGAAAGCACACCTTGAATTCCAGAAAATGGTCATAAAATGGAATTATTTTTTACAAATGAGTTTTGTGCTGATGTCGACGGCTAAGTTGCAAGCTGAAAAAAAAGTGTGCCCCAAACAAAAAGAGACACAGTTGTCTCAAGCAAGGCTGAGTTACGCCAGTCCAAGCCTTTGCTGGAAGCCTCCAACAGCAAGCCCTCGTGCACAGAACTACGAAAACCACGCGTATGCTAAGACTTGTGCTTGGCGGCCCAAGTACCGGTACAAGGTAAATCAAAGTGGTACAAATATGTCGATGTACAAATTTGCATAAATTTGCAAGATCTCAGCACACCAGGACCCGTGCCGTGCTGTGAGGCACTGAACTTGGCTTTAAACAATCATATTCCCATTCAGAAAGAATGAGCAGCTTCCTGCAATGCTCACTCGGGGGCGGCTGCCTTGATGTCTGCTGAGCATCCCTCCTCGAACTTCTTGAAATTGTCCTGCACCACGAGCAAGGACTGCAGTGGCAAATAATTACCGGGGATTCGAATGTCAGCATGTCTTATTCATCATTCATCTTCGTGCTGGTATTCAAAGCTGTCTATTGATGTGTGGCCTTCCGTTTCAGGCCATGGCCAAGTCCGGCCTTGAACAGGTGAGACAACTTTGCGGACATCTTCTCAAACTCTGCCTGGTCGGACCTCAACGTCACCATTTCACCAAACCGCACAATATTGCACAACAATTTACAGCAAAATCTAGCCTTCGAGTCCTTCAAACAGCTTGACAGGCAAAGTTGCATTCATTCACGGAAAGCTATGTTTTCGTGGCAAAAATGAGGCAATAGCAACAATGAAACTAGGAAGCCGGAGGTCATTCACAACAATACGGAAACCACACTAGAGGAAGATGATGGAAGTGTAGTATACAAACTACAAACGAAGACTAAACTGATTTCGTAGCACGACATAATTTTGAATTGTAGAAGCGGCGTAGAGGCGGTATGGGTGGCAATGATACACCAGGACAACAGGATGATAGCAAATGGATGCAAATGGTATGCCGGCAACCAAAGTCGTAGTCGCAGTCGTGGCTGGTCGAACTGTAGCAAGTGTTGACCGAGAAACCAAGTCTTGTTTGGCATCAAGATCTTGGAGTCCACGTTGGGGCAGGTTTTTGGCACTTGCAGGTTGAACCTGGAGTGCACTGAACATCCGTTCACAAAATGACATGAGGATTGAATGTTACAACGCATGTTAAGACATATTCATAAGTACAGTGTTACAGTATATATCAGTATATGGTGTTCTCTTTTTGGCTGGTGTTCATATGTGTTCATCAACTATTTTTCATGGCTTCTGGACATCCCAGGTTTTGACCCGTCACCACATCGGGTATATACAGAGTGGCCCCCCAAAGCTCCAGTGGCAACCTGACTTGACAGAGCGGGAACCAAAGGTAGAGCAAGGGAAAATAAGGGAAGTAAGAAAATACAGGAACGCCAAGAGACTTTTTGTGCAATCATGAACAGAACACAAAGTCACGATAACAAGAATGAACATGATAAAAGTGATGACAGCAACAGCGATAATGATTGCAATGATGGGATGGCAAGGAATGACGCGAACATGACTTTGATGCTTGTGATTCTGGATGCTCATGGATGTCGACAATGTCTTGTTGCGCCGCATTCAGGGATTGATAGCTTCGTCTCTAAAATCATGCTGGAGCCTGGAGCCACATTTACACCTACCAGTAGCTGAGAGCTATACTTGCAAGTGAAATTTGCTGCTTTGCTTTGGGTGATGTGGAACTGTTGTGATGCTGATCTTGACGAAATGATTCTGAAATTGAAGTGAGTAACAAAATACACTGATGCTCGGGTCATGATCATGATGACGGAATAATGCTGCCATGGATGGCGGAACATTGCATTGAACAATGCGACGATAACGCTCTGCCATGCTGACGACGACCAATGACAACCCCAATGACAAATGATGATGACACACCGGCAATGATGGCGAGGCAAAGGAATGAGAGTTCCGACCTGAGGAGGGGGTGAATGATTGATTTATTTCATTTAGAATTTTTATAAGTGATAATGATAGTAAGTGATAACATTCATCCCACGTATTGTACCAATGCCACGAAATTCACGTACCGGTAGCCAAGGCTATCTTCCTGATGAAAAGGTAAATACAAGGTCACAAGTCGGTCACAAGTTTAAAACACAAAGATCGTTGGATCATATGATATATAACAGGATCTGTTCAAAATAACATCCTCGAAAAAGTACTTAAGCCATCTTAAGCCTTCATCTCCAGCAGTGAAATCCTGCTGACCCCTCCTAATTTAGAGTTTGCAAAAATTGTAAATGGCTGCTGCTATCTACTTCGCGCCACTACCTGGGCATGCACAATGGCCTTGGGAAGTTCTCATACTCGGCTTTTGCCAAATCGCCAGAGTGAATCGCATCAATGATGGCCCGTGTGTCCTACACATTCCAAGAATGGCACATTGCTGAGCTCAAGTCGCTTTGCCATAGGTCATGTCGTGACTTCATTCGTGCACGGACGCATCCCTGTGGCTTACAGCTCGGCTAGCCAGGTCCTTCAAGCTCATGCGGTGGCCTGCGCCGAAAGCACCACCAGTCCATCCCGTATTGATGAGCCAAGCATTCACGTTGTGCTTCGCCATCCTTGGCCCACATGGACAAAAAGATACAAAATATGGTGCAAACTTCCAGGGTTTCTTCTGAGGGTGGTTCAAACTCAGACTGTTGCCTTTGTCTTCATCTCAGCATTGAGTTCCAACTGGCCAGCACCAAATTTGAGGTCGCAAAATGATACATGCAGGATGTTAATTTATATATACCATGCGCTTCAAGTACCTGTAAAATCTTCATACCTTTCTGAAAACATCGTGTTTGCATACCTGAATATCAAAACATCGTGCTTTGCTCAAAAACATCGTGTTTTCTCACAATCTTATGTTTTGAGAGAATAATGTGATAATTTGGTCTTCGGTGATTCACGATGGGTTGATTAGCGCTCGCATGCCCTCGCTGCCCTAGTGGAAGGAACATATCCGTCTACCAACTTAACTCTGCTTTGGTGAAATAATTCCAAGGCTTTCGTTTGGTGTGGGTGTGACCAGTGTTGAGTAGGTTACCACTGAACATCGATGAATCTGGTTTTAATTTTCAGTTTTGTGACATTTGGAGCCACATCCAAGCCTACCAGCGAGGGAACTCGTATAAACAAAGGACCCATGAATGGTTTGGATTGGATTTTTAAGGTGCCGCATTGATTTTTTTTTTTGAAAATAATTATTGCTCCCAATAGTTGAATCTCAGGGACCCCGTAGAAAACCCGGAGTAACCCGTAGAAACCCGTAGAAACATGTAGAAACCCGTAGTGGATTTTGAAAACATCGTGTTTTGAAAAAACATAGTGTTTTCCTAACCCGTAGAAAACCCGTTAAAAAACCCGTAAAAAACATGTAAAAACGTGTCCGAAAAAGAGGGGTATCTAGGGTTCGCATCGCAGCAATGTACCCTCCAACATGTTTTCTTTTGGCCCCTTGATCTCACTTTTCTGAAATTCAAAATTCGAAGCGTATGGGGACATCATTTTTGATTTGTCGCAGGTAGAAAAGCTACAGTGTTTTAGACGCATCATAGCCAGCTTCCACGAGCTCTTGGCTTTATATTTGACCGACCCATGTGGTCACTCGTTGCTACAGCATGGGCAGCATGCAGGGTGAGCGATATCCAAAAAAAGGTGCCATGTTGAAGATGATAACCGTATATGCGTCGGCATACAAGCAAGCTGAGAACATCAAGAATGGGAATCATGATGACATGAGATTGCAATAGATTGCAAAAACATGGAAAATGCAAAACATCGTGTTTTCTGGGAAAACATTATGATTTTCTAGGCACCTGCGATTTCAGGCGTTTTGGAAGCCCCTGGTATATATAATTATAAAATCCCCGCAGGTACAAGCCAGGGAATGTAGTTTTTTTTTCAGTTTAGACCTTTTTTGATGGGTTTAAAATGATATTGCCAGGGGTAAACGTGAGAAACCGGTAAGATGCCAGACCTTACCCTAGGGTTCCGCTTCCAGGGCTCGGCATGGTGTTTCTGGTACCATGTTAGCTGGCTAGGAACACTTTAGACCCTCAACGGCTAAGAACAGTTTAGACCTCTGGGGTCTCCAACCTGCATGATCCCCCAATGTCCCCCCAACATCATAGGATATCCATAAATATTCTCAAATGTTTTCAGAAACTACATTGAACTGAATGAATCTGTTGGACCCCAAAAAGAGAAAGGACAAAATATTTACCTGAGGTAAGGTCTAAAGTCTAAAGTGAAAAAGTGACCATTCTAGACCTTTATAATTATGAACCATGGGTAAACCATCCTAGACCTTCTTGTACCTGAGGGTATATTATATACCAGTAGTACCGCACAAGGCGGTGGCGGAAGTTTCAGAATAGGAAACCTATAGGAGACGTTGGTTGTTGTGAATCACGGATGGCAGAGCGAATCCACTGATTGACCGAAACGTGGTTGGAGTTGTGTTGCTGGAATGGTTGCAATGGTTGCAGTGGTCACCTCACCCACAACTGCTGGATGTAGTGTGATGTACTGCAACTGTAGTTGTTGTAGTTGTAGTTGTAGTTGTTGTTGTAGTAGTTGTAGCTGTAGTTGTTGTGTGGTTGTAGTCGTTGTGTAGTGTAGTTGTAGTAGTAGTAGTAGTAGTTGTAGTTGTTGTGTAGTTGTAGTTGTAGTTGTAGTAGTTGTTGTTGTTGTTGTTGTCGTTGTTGTTGTTGTTGCTGTTCCTGTTGTCGTCGAAGTTAGGGTAGTTAAGTTAGTCAAGTTAGTTAAGTTAAGCAGCGTCTACTTTTTCGACATCTTCACGTCAAAAAAGGCTCAAAACCCTCAGTTTTTTACACTTTTGACTTCGAAATGTGCTTCGTGCCACAACGGCGTGCACTTTTTCGACGCTTTTTCGACATCTGAACCTCCAAAAGTGGTCCGAGACCGTCAGTTTTTAACACTTTTGACTTGGAAATGTGCTTCGCGCCACAACGGCGTGCACTTTTTCGACATCTCAACTTCCAAAAGTGGTCCGAGACCGCCAGTTTTTTACACTTTTGACTTGGAAATGTGCTTCGCGCCACAACGGCGTGCACTTTTTCGACATCTCAACTTCCAAAAGTGGTCCGAAGCTGAGGTGTTTTGTACATTTTGACTTGGAAATGTGCTTCGCGCCACAACGGCGTGCACTTTTTCGACATCTCAACTTCCAAAAGTGGTCCGATCCTCTAGTGTTTTGTCCATTTTGACTTGGAAATGTGCTTCGCGCCACAACGGCGTGCACTTTTTCATGTCTCATCTGGCCAGCTGGCTCCGCACTGCCGCTTTAGCGAGCCTACTTTTCGACCCTCCGGAGCCACAAATCATTGGAAAAACACAGTGAATCGCGACTTTCCTACCTTTTCGCGCATCTGCATCTTCTTTCTTCTGATCTTTTCTCTTCTGACTCTTTTCACTTCTGCTTTTCAACTGTCCATATTGTCGGAAGTTTCACTTCTAAACTTCCTTCGATAATATATATATATAATATTGTAATACAATTTATCATGTTTGCCAAATAATGGCAAATGCTACCGCAAACCACCTGAATCCATACATCCGTGCTACTAGTAGGCAAACCCGGGCAAGTGTCTACAAGTTGTTTGAACGAATGACAATAAATGCAAAGAGCAATGTTAATCTTCGGCTTCGTTTGTTGAGGCGTGCGCAAAAAAGGACAATAGCAAATTACAGTGTTTTCCACCATCTGTAAAATTATTAAAATGAGATGTCTCAACAGGAACTGGCTTCAAAACCTTCTGTCCCAGCGCCCTCAACCTTCACATCAACTCATCATCACGTCTTGCGCTCAGCCTGCTATGACTCCCAGGCTCTCCCACATCTCCCACATGGAAAACGCCGAGCATCTTTTCTGCCAGCAATTCTGCGTATTTGGCCGGGTGCCATACCATAAATGGTGCACCGAAGCATGCTGAGAATGTGGCAGTGGGCTCTGTCACACCAACCTGCCAAGGCAGTTGTCATCCACTCTCGCTGATGATTTGCATTCCTGCCATATGTTTGAAGACTGACTTGGAAAATTCCGTGAAGATTCAAACAATCCAAAGCACCAACCAGAATCACCTGAACAGCTACAAGGCCTTTCACATTCAAGAGGACGTCACTCGAACACTGAACATGACATGGTATATCATTTCTAAAAGAGTTCCAAACAGACCTTGATGGCCACTTCAGAATCGGGTTATCCAACCTCTGTACCAGCCACCTTTGCTGTGTAGCCGGAAATGAAGTGGTACCTTGCTGGCCAGGAAAAACAGCTGATACCCCAACATCACACTTGGTTTCAAAATCCGAATCAACATGTTGTCTGGCAAGGGAACGCCTCCTGATCGTTATCCCTGGCAGCACAATGACAGCAAACTTTCTGTTGGATGTACCCAGGGTGTAGGAGTGTAGGACACTTACTGTATATAACAATAACACTACATTTGGATTGTATTTATATATAATTATTTATACTATGTCAGGTAATTCCATGTCTATATAGTTCAAAGGACACCCAAGCTTCGATCAGCCATGCGGCATGGCTTGGGAAGGTGTCAGCTTGGAGACCGGTGGCAGCACGCCGAATGCATCGCATGTGAGCCTGGCATTGACGACCAGCTGCTGGCATGGTACTATCTGCAATGTACGTGTCTTGAGGGTCGGTTGTGTACAGCAAACTAATTTCAACCAGAACCACTTGAGAGATCTTGAGAGGGGGAACACGAAAGGTAGATAATCAAGAAGGGGAAGCAAAGTCTCTCCGTGTAAAAGCTGGCTGTGTGGAAAAGTGTGCTGTGTGCAGAAGTTTCTGTGTGTAAAAGTTTTTCTGTGTAAAGGCATCTGTGGGTAAAAGGGCCTGTGTAAAACCTGCTGTGCATACAGACTTCTGTGCCTAAAGGCTTCTGTGCGGAAAAGTTTCTGTGTATAAAAGCTGCTCTGGGTGTATAAAGTTTCTGCGTGTAAAAGTTTCGGTGTGTAGATATTTCTTTGTGCAGTCTGTGTGGACATTTTTTCTGTGTTAAAGCTTTCTGTGTAATACAAGTTTCTTTGTGTAAAAGCTGTTCTGTGCAAAGGTTATGTGTAAAAGGTTCTGTGTGTAAAAGCGCCTGTGTGCCTGTATTTATGCGTGTAAATGCATCTTTGCGCAAAGCATCGGTGTATAAACATTTCTGTGTGTAAAGCTTCTTTGCGTAAAAACCTCTGTGTAAAGGCGTCTGCATGTAAAAGTTTATCTGTGCACAAACCCCTGTGTAAGAGTATCTGCACATAAAAGCTGCTCTGTGTAAAGGTTTCTGTACGTAACGTTGTCTGCTTGTAGAAGCGTATCGGTGCAAAATGCGTCACCACAGCAAAATCAAAAAAAATGAAACAAAAGAATCCAAACTCAAATGCTTGCTGTCGTTGCGTTGTTGATGATGTTGGTGATGCGCGCAGAGCCCCACAAGGGGTCATTTTGGCTGTGTTAGGCCAACTTGTCAAAAGCCATCGGGACAAAAAACATTGCTAATTTCCATGTTTGTGCTTTAGCGCCTCACAGGCCAAAAACAACTTGTTGTTGTTGTTGTTGCTGGTGGTTGTCGTTGTCGTTGTCGTTGTCGTCGTCGTCGTCGTCGTCGTTGTTACCCCTGCAGTTTTTTCTGAGTCTCGTAGTGGCTGAAAATCGTCAAATAGGTGGCGTTTTCGCGTTTTTTTTTGATACTCTCGGAGCAAAAAACACCGTAAATACATGTAAATACCGATGTTTTTTTGCGCCGCGGAAGCCCAAAAACAACGGTATTTGTGATGTGTTTTGCCTCTGGTAGCAAAAACCACGGTATTTACAATGTTTGTTGACACCACCTAGCAAAAACACTGGTATTTACGCAGTTTTCGGCATGTTGCAAGAACTACTTGTTCCATGCCAAAGGCACAAAAACACTGTAAATTACAGTGTTTTGGATCTTCTTTGCTTAAGGGGTTGCCAGGGGGGGGGAACTGTATCTAAAATGAACAGCAATCGCCTGAATAATCAGGTAACTGGGCTGGCCAGCCTCCCCTTTATTTCGTAAAGCTAAGCTCAAGGTAGCACCACTGGAGCTACCTTTCGTGATTAGTTCGAACAAATACTAAACATGAAACAGCACTCCCATGGTAGAGCGGCAACATCTTGTGGGATTGATGCAGTGCTGGAGGCATAGAGTCACAGGCTTAGTTGTTTCACGGCAGGGGATTTGTCTTTCAAGGGTTTGATGCAGTAGTCCAAAAATAAATGTCCCTCGAAGACACTGGATCAACCTTGAACTAGTCCATGAGTGCCTGCATTAAAATAACACAGGATCCAGTGTTCTGATTGCTTCGAATCCCATTCATAAGTGGACGCTGGCGCTGAAGTATGAAACGAGGCACATGATAATATTTTTTGGGTGTCCACCAACCGCCGGGAGCTTCGCATTGGGAATGTACTCCAAGGGATACCTTGGCTCGGACCTCCATCATTTGGAAGGTAGGTCGACCACAAAAGCTATATAACATCAAATTAAACCGTGTGTGACAGCCACATATACTTTGTGTAAAAGGCTCCAGAATAATCTATCTGACAAGTTCTGTCCAACTCTTGCTGCAACAAAGCAAACTCAAATGCGTCTGCAAATGTCTGCCGTGCAAACATGGTTTTCACGTACACCACACACAATAAGCTGGTATAAGCATCTTCGCTTTTCTGCATATACAATCATATGCATAAAGCGGAACCAAATATAGATATAGTATGATATAATATAAATATTAATAAATACAATATAATATATAGTATAGTGTATAATATATATATATATATCAAGTATATATCATATTATATTAAATAAAAAATATTTTATAATTTCCTTGCAGTTTCCGGTGCGCTAGCAGGTCAAAGTTGCACGGTGTGCCTTCAATTACTGCCTTTGTCTATTGCACACGCATGTTCATCCCTCCATTCCGATGATCCCACAGGCATATCTGGCATTTCACGTCCGTGTCAGGGGAAAAGCAACGTTTTTTCATCGGAATTGCTCCAACTCTATTTGGATAGCCAGGGAGGAAAAGGCCAGCATCGGATGACATAATATGACATAATAGCGGTACAAGTAGCGACAACTAAAGTGAAGGCCAACCTAACACCGTCCTCTGCCGCCACGTGGTTCGCAAGGAAAACTCAGGGTGCGATCCAGGAGACGACACTCGTGTGTTCTCAGTAATGCTGCCGTCGTCATAGTCAACCTGGCCTGTGCGCTGGTCAAAGACCACCTGGGCAATTGGCAACTTAGTAAATTAGAGTCATGCAGCGCGATCACGACTAGCACGCGAAGTCGAAGTCGTGATGAAAGTTGGTGCAAAGCAGAAGTGTTTATGATGTGCGGGTTTGGCATACAGTCAGCATTGGAGTTCGGTCATGATTCCACTACCAAGGATCCACTGCCATTGCAGTCAGGAATCGTTCTCTAGCAAGGAGCCGAAGCGAATGGCATCCCAAATTTCAGGCTCCTTCCTTGGAAGAGTGGCCAGCGGCTGGTCAACAACAACCTGACCTAGTCCAAGTGTCGGTACAGTCAGTGTTTCGTGCAGCTGAGCAAACACAACGTGCAGGAGACAAACAATGCCAAATTAGAATACCCACAGACTGGCAGGTGCCGAAATATAATTTTCATTGCTTTGTGGATGTGGTTCAGTTGAGCGATTCAATGAGGATACGGGTCAATTCGCATTAATGTCTGCTGAGCTGCTCCCGAGTGAGGCCAATGGCCTTGGCATAGCATCCGCCCTCGATGTTGAAGATGCCCTGTTGGATCTTGTTGGATCTCTTGGGATGCTGCGCTGCAGTGAATCACCACCCTCTGTCTACTGTCTACTTCGTCCAAGTTCAACAGGTCAACCAAAAAAACACATCAACAGCTCTGAATATCGCTGAATCAGAGTCAAACCCCTGTGGGTTTTAGAAAATGTTGCTCTTTAGCTTAGAGTTTATGGAGATCAAGCACCATGTTGTTGATAAAGTTTCCAAAATGGCCGTGCCATTTTGGCTCAAGCTTGTGGTACCACTACGTTCCTTTGATTTGGAAACTCGGACGCTAAGAAAAATCGCTATTATTTTAACATAGTTTAACAAAGCAAAGGCAATAACTCATCAGCTGCGAAAAGGTTGATGTTTTTGCACGTTACCTCTTGAACTCACTCTAAATCCCTCAGCTCTGAGGTGACACGTGCATGAGAATGTCCGAAGCCGGCGCATCGGCCTTGCTGGTCCAGGCATGCTCATCATCACCGATGAGCATCCGGTTCTCGTCGGCTGAGAGCGTCGTCTTCCCGGTGCCGCTCAGGCCAAAGAAAATGGTGACATCACCATCCTCCAGGGTGCAAACTGGAAAACATGATGACCAAATGGACCAAATACCAAGTTATTTCAATTAGAGTCACCTAAGTTACTAGCAAGATTAGCAACTTAGAGCCCCTTGCCCTCACTTGACTTGATGATCCGGCCATACCCTTGAAGATTCAGAAGTGACAGCAGTCTAGATTTTTTTGACAGACAGTTGACTGCTGGGTCCTTGCCCTCGTTGGCGCTGGCATGCATGCTGAGAATACCCCTCTTGGGCAAGAGGTAGTTCATGATGGTGAACACACCTGCCCGAAGCATCATCTACAATGATCCGCACCGTTCCGCACCAAGGGCCATCAGTCTTCATGATCTAAGTTATAGATGGAGTGTGCGATGGTCACGAATTGAATTAGTTCATGGACGTTAGCCAAAATGCGTCAACATGCATCAAAATGCTGCACCAATGGCCAAGTAAACGCCCCCAACTGACGGGCCAACCGCCCCGGCCACCAATGGCCATACCGGTGCACCAGGCCTTTCTTCATTTCCCCAGCGTACTGCGTTCCGAGAATCACCACCTCCCTGGAAGCAAAGTTCAGAGACACCGAGGTGCCGGAGCCCATGCCTTCAGTGGCCCGGTTGCAAGGGAAAGCGCCTGCGTTGTAAATCGTATAGTCCTCAGCCAATCTCAGCCCCCGGCCATGCCCGGCCATTCCCATGTCTTGTGGACCCTGATGGATGCTGGACTGCTAGGTTCACCATAGGTTCACCAGGGTTCAGCTCTGATTGCGACTCACACGAAGTGCGAGAGTGTGATATACTTGTGGGGGAATTACATCATTACATGCAGGCAGGTTGCACCCGAAGCCCACTGACTAGAAAGCCAGTCACAAAGTTGCTGAAGCAAATCAAGGAAGCTGGGGTGCCAAAGTTGGCAAGTTCTTCTGCAGTAGGGCGAATCAGCATGTTGTGCATGAAGAGGGCGTGATAGGCACGGCTGGTAATAATTCTAATCCTTGCGGATGACCGCATCGGACACATGTCTGTGCCAGGAAACGGCAAGGAACACACAGAAAACTATTCATTTCCAAAACACTCCCTCTCCACACCAGCAGCTGTTTGAAGAATGTGCTGCTGGAGGTGTGCTAGCTTAGACATTGCTTGATTCATGTTCGGAAGCATGTTCCTCCCAAGGGCCCCTACTTCTACCACCTTTTTTTGATTTTCTCTCTCTCTCTCTCTCTCTCCCCCTCTCTCGCTGTGGGCTTAGAACGCTTCCTGATTGAGGCGACCTTGATCGTTGCAAGCGCGGACTAGGAAACAAATGGACACAATAAAATTGCAGCAGTGTTTGTATGATTTTGTATGTGCAGACATCCGCAGCCGCGGGAATACATATTCCCTCTATTTCCCTCTGCTGTCCAAGTCTCTTGTAGCGAAACTCCGGGTCCCACCCGGCAAAACCATCAAGGACATACAATCTGGGGCGAGTGTTCAAGTAGTCGATTGCTCGCTCTCCTGAGATCTGTAGGGACAAATGATCAACAAAAAAGGACCAACGAGACAAACACGCCAAGGCAAACATTTACCAACGCTCAAATCTTACATCAAAACAATTGCGTTTGTCACCAGAGGATGAAGGAAAACACTGGCTACACGCAGTGATTTTGACTTTATTCTTCTAAGAATTAGGGTCTAGGGTTTTAGGAGTCTAGGGTTTTAGGTTTTAGGTTTTAGGGTTGCCTGATTTGCAGCGAAAATGTCACAACTTAAATTGATGCAAGTGATGCATGCACCCTCCTTCCACCTCGAGAATAGGGGCTGCTGTCGGCTTCCTAACACTATATTGTCTTAGTTTGCTACCTGTCCCATTTGCATCATTGATTGATTTAAGAAGAAACTAGAGTAGCAACAAACCATAAAAGAACCTGAGTACTCTGAAAGACAATTCTTCCAAAAAAAATATGGACAAAAAATTAATTGAAACCATTGGGCCATGACAAAGACAATCAGCCAACGGGATCCAATACTACGGGCTTAGCCTCCTGACGGAGATTCATCATGATCCGGTGGTGGTTGGAATTCGAGACATCGAGTTTGAATGCCAAGTATCGATTGATCTTGAAGCTGTTCTCACTCAGGGGCAAGTTCACTGTTCCCCACCAAACATCGTCCTTCGTGGTTGGCTCCTGGTAGGCGGCCGGGAGCAACCGATGCCTCAACAACTCGATCCGATCCCAAATCAGATGCGAAACTGTTGGTGCTTTACGCCTGTCCAACCTGACAGCCTGCTTGTCTAATTACCTGGCCCATTTACGTCCAACTTAGCTTATAGATCCTATAGTTGGGAACAAAAGGTTCGCCACATCCCAAGCCCCGCGAATTTCGCTCCATGACCACACGTTTGTCCAAGGGGGAGCGCCCTGTCTTGGCACCCGAAAAGGCGGCCAGCGCGCCCGTGGACAAAATGGCGGAACCTTTCTCATAGCGCAGAGCCTGAAAGCCAGCGGCTAAAGATAACTACTTCGCTGCACTACCACCACCAGCGGCAGCAACAGCAACATCAGGGTGTCGACGCACACCCTAGATCAGTGGGGTTTGAAGGTTAAAAAACGTGAAATCACATGAAAATAAGGCAACAAACTATAGACACATTGATCCATGCTATGATTCTTGTTCGGCCTGATCCAGAATTTTCCCAAAAATTAGTTAAAGTACACTTTTTTCCTCAAAAGTTAGCCAAAAATATATCAGTTTCTGTTATTGTTTGTTCGCTTTTTATGATTATGTTTTCTCAAGACTATGTTTTGGGGAACTGTTTCTTCAAAAAGAATGTGTCCCTTTGCTTTCGTTTTTCCATGTGTGTTTCATTCCGTTCATGTTCTTTACTTTTTTGTTAGGAAAAGCTCGGACTGTTGCGTGTTTCTTGTGCTCTGCTTTCGCTGATTGATTTGTATCACCTGCCCATGCCAATGTTTGGTTGAAGGGGTTCAATCTGAAAGGCACTTGATCTACCTGTCCCAAACTTTCTCATGGTTCATTTAATAATTGTTCACAAGATATACCGTTTTCTGACTCTTGGGTCGAATACTTTACCGAATGAATAGTATCTTGTACCTGTACCATCCTGTATCTATTTATAAAAAATGAGGGAAAAACAAAACCATACTTACAGTAACTAAACCCTCCTGATCTGCAGTGTGTCTTCGCACTCCTGACAACAGAAGAAGCAGCAGCAGCAGGAGCAGCAGCAGGAGCGAGAGGAAGAGCAACATCAATGAGAACAACAAGAACAACAACACAACAGAAAGAATGACAAGCAGGGCAGCACGCAAGACTGAGTGCCATTGAGTGCCAATAAACATGACAAACCCGAGAAACAAAAAGATCAATCAGCAAGACTTCCTAAATTCTGAACATCCGTGTTTCCAGGTTTCTTTGGACACAAATGGGTTTGAACGCATGCCCTGAGAAACCGCATGCTGTGGCACCTCATCGTACAAGGTCCCAGGGCGGGCATTATGGTGGACGGCTTCCGTCTCGATGCCAAGGTTGTGCAGAATGGCCATGTCTGCATCCGCGTGGTGCCTGTGAGAGTCGGAGGAGGTGTTCATGCGCCATCCAAATCCTTAAAAAATAAAGATACTGTTTTGCAAAAATACATGTGTTGCAAACAGTCTGACTTTGTTGTTCCAATTCCAAGTTCCAGCACCCAAGCACCGTTAGTCCCGTTAAGTCTGCGTAATCGAAAGTCTTCCGGTGGGAAACCCGCCGGCAGTGGCAGCCCTAAATCCTCCAGGACATCTTTTTCATCAGTATTATGATCCAAAATGCATAAAATTTGCAAACAGGAAATGCATATAATTTGGAGGTACCAAGGGAGATGAGAAAACATACATAGGGTCATGCATGTGCTTGAAGCCAACCAGAAGAAAATGCATAGGGTCATGCAGCATGCATATGTATGCATATGTAGCTGCTACATGCCGATGCTGATATCGTTGATATCATTCAATATCCCCAGGGCATTCCTGGGAATCCCCATTCTATAGTTCTCCGAGTCGCGGAAGGTTCTTTGGCAACTTCCCGGATACCGTGGAGGATGTGACCTTGAGGGCCTCTGCGACTGGCGAGCGGATCTTCATCTGATCGGTTCTGAGCCTTGTAGCGAAGGCAGAAAGCCACAAGACACAAAACATCTTTAACACAAGTATGCATAAGGGCTGAGAAAATCTGAGAAACACGGATGCAACTTCATGATACTTCATGTTGATGTCATTGTCATTCTATGTCATTCAATGACTTCAATGCCTTTCATAGTGAAGAGAGAAAGGGCAAAACGAGCTTCACTCTGTGCCGGCAAGGAGCAAGCGACTTGAGTGAATCTGCCTCGCCAAGCGGCAGGCTCTCGCCAAGGACCTGCCAGGTCATCCATATTTGGGTTGCCAGGAATGAATCTAAATATGAATTAACAGCAACATTCATAGAGCTCAACATGTGTGTTGTTTCTTTACTAGTTGTGAACTTCAACAATCTTCAGGATGAACCTGTGAAAGGAATCTAATTATCCAAAGGACTGGCTAAGGACATGTTGGTACCATGCTGTAGCTTAGCATTGACAAGCATGCTCTTGACTACGGACAATGGTGGCGGACCACAATTGAGTCTGAATGCCTCGCATATGCGGCCAACTTTCAGGGCAAATCAAATTTTCCGAGTCATTGAAAGGCATTGTGAAGTATAGAAGCCCTTGTGTTGTGGCTGGATCTGGATCATGGCTCATCATGGCCCGTCAAAGACCAGCCCTTTCATTCTTGGTGCCTCATAGCTGGGGCACGAGAAGCCATGATGCTGTTTGGAGTCGGGGATCACAATGTGCGACGGCTTAAAATGCTGCGGAGGCCAAATCTGGAGGACATGTCAATGTGGAACAAGCATACTGGAACGGCAGGTTTACCCTGCGCTCAGTAGTCCGATTCAAGGCAGCAGTTTGGGTAAACTTTGGGTAAACATTGAACAGCTCCCAACTTGATATGCACTCATTTCATTTGGCAAGTTGATATATTTCCGAAAGCTCAGGAAGGAACACAGCAGGTGCGTGCAGTGCGTGCCACACGAATTTCATCGCCGGTGCCTCATCCATGGAGGCAGATGCCCAAAGCGCTACCAGGGTCATCCCCAAGCTGAAGACATCAGCTGGAAATCCTTGGATCCAAAATCCCAAAGAGACAAGCTCCGCCAAAGTCTAAAGACTACCTACCCTTTACATATCTTTACATGCTTTACCCTTTGACCATTTTGACCTCCAAGTTTTAAACATATTTCAAATATGATGTGAGCACATGGCTGTCCCAACCAAACCTTGATAACCTTGGAATTGACGTCAACATTTGTCTGGACTGGCGAGAAGTTCAAACTTTAAACCTGAGCGCTGCCCAACGCTCCGTGCGGCAATTGATGTGGTGAGCCTGCGCCTTCCCAGAGGTCACCAACGCTCGACTCAAAGCCACATCTCTGAACCGGATCCGACATTGGGAGAGGGCGCGTTCATGATGTTCATGTCAAATCAACATAAATCATCATGAATCAACCCACAACTGCCCCCGTCGGGCCGACCATTCTGAGCTTGCAGTTTAGCAGCCATATCTCTTGCCCAACTCGGGGGCGGAGTACAGGGATCCCACAGCTGAGTCATCCAAAGCAGCGACACCATCACTAGTTGCCTTGTGCGGCAGCGCGAGTCAGCACGCTCACTGAGATCGTCTTACATCGTCTTACGTGGCATAATGTTAATATATATATATACACATATCCGTGTACCGGTAACCGTGTGTATACACAGTATGTGGAATTTAAGTGGACTACTTTAGCCATAGGTTTACTTTGGAGGGTGTTCACCAGGACAACGTTGGGATTTTGCCGGGTCATGTGCCCAACACCTATCTCACTGTGTTACCTAGGAGCTTCTTGGTGGCTTTGGGGCACCCAGCAATCACCTTCCAACCCTTGGAGCACCGAAATCATTGGCCAAACTGGCTGTCAAGTGCTGTCAACTCCTAGTGGCCCCCAGCTGCCCCAGCCTCAGTCCCTTGAAGTTCCTCTCCTTGTAGTTCCACTGCCAAGCCGAAGTCACCCAGGCGAGGGGACCAAATTCCACTCTCCTCGGACTCTTCTTTTGGCAAAGAAAACATGTGAACAACACAAACAGCTAAACATGATAAGTTCCAAACATCAAACAACACCAGCGCAGCAGCAGCAGCAGCAGCAGCAACAACAACAACAACAACAACAACAGAAACAGAAAAACAAGAACATCAAAAGCACAGCGAAGTCTCTTTGACGAGGAGTACGTTCCATGGATTGATGTCCTTGCAACGGAGTAGTGTACAATCGTGCCGCAGGGAATGGAGGGTGGTGAGCCAATACTGGAAGACAACCGCAATCAATCAAACATGTAGTGCATGCGCACAGATTCCGACATCATCAATTCATGAAGAAACTCTGAATCTAGTTGAGCACTCAAAATTGCGAAGCGCATATTGGTGCTGTTTCATGAATTGTCAACATGCATGCCAATCCAAACCCTCAAGAGAGAACCATTCATCCTCATACAGCTAACAGGAATGAATAAATCTTGAGCCCTCCAAATCTTGCCGGTAATGCCGGCATATAATCATACCTGGAATCATACACCATACACACCATACAGAACCTGGGTCTAATCCTTTGCCTCCTTGCCGGCAGCAAGCATTTGGGATAGTGCGAGGGAATTGCTGCTTCGCCATTCCCTGTCCCCTGCCACCCCAAAAGTCCCGGTGAAGTATTCGCAGGCTATGACAGTGGCAGACTGCTGAGCAAAGCCCAGCGCTCCAGCAACGCCTTGTGGCTAAAAAATGACAGCATCTGACAACAGTTGGATCATGTTGGATCAGTGCCAGTTCCTTTGCTCAAAATGACTCTAGCAAGAACATGCTGATGAGATATTATCTGAACTATGAGGCTGAGTTGGGACAGGCCACGTTGCCTTATATGATGTGCCACAAAACTCTCACAGTCTGCATCATGCATAGTGTGAAAGAAGCATATTGACAAAGGTTCAATACAACATGTGCCTATCATCATGTGAAAAGTTCGATTTGTATGCACTAAAGTCACTCAAGTAATTTATACACATGTGATCACATGTGTATACTGTATGCATAAACGATCTGAGTGCATCTCTGCAACAAGATGTAAGTGCGTGAAATCCGGTCAGAACCACAACTCTGATCATTCTGATCACCCTTGCATAAGTTTTGCACCCTTGTGCCTCTCAATGAGGCCAGTCGATGCTAGGGATTGGTCCTGCCACTCCTTCGCGTGGACCAAGGCATCCCAAAGGGGCAAGTCGCAAGCCTAGCACGGGCAGGGCATGGCATGGGCATGGCGGAGAGGAGGGACGCTCTGATGTTGGCGATCTCTCAATGTGCAACCCAGTTGTTCGATGTTGTTCACCCAATGATTTTCTGTGGGAAGTCAAGAACGCAGCTGCTGTTCTCTTCGATCTCTACAACTTTTAGATCGTTTTGGTGTCAAACTACACAGGAGTGTCCCATTGTGTCCCCACCAATATTGATTGACATAGGCCAACAGGTGAGGCCTCTGTAATCACCAGGAGCTCTGTGGGGGTTTCAAAGGCAAAGGCAAAGCGCAGGACATAGGGACACTGACAGGGCGAGGCGATGAGGGACCCAGGGCGAATGCAGGGGAGCTCACTGAGCTCGCTTTCCATGAGTGGCACAGTGCAGGAGAGATATGGAGAGATATGATTCTATATTCTATGATGAACCTTGACTTTTGCTTCCGCGCCCCAGGCCGGAAGCTCCCAATCCCAAAACGCTAAAAACGTCTGCCTCGGCAGATGCCAACTTCAGCAATCGCACCTCTTCGGTAACCACCTGACACGACAGGTGGGCCAAAAAGAAACGGAATGCCTCCAGTGAATCATCCGCATGAATATCATATGAATATAATAAAATACGATGAATAACATTCAATAACTATCATAAATACATATGATGAATATAAATATGCATAACTCGGATAGTCCACGGAATGAGTTGGAGCACAATGGAATGCAACCGAATACAATGATAATAACAATAAATATGATGGAACACAGGCTGTGGCAAATACACAGAAGCTTACAGGATGTTGCAGCGATGTTACTGGAGTCTCCAGTCTCAAGGCTACCTTGTGGTATCTTGTGGTCTTGCCATTGCGGTGATTTGTGATGTACTGTGCTTTTCCACCCTTTCCAAGGCCTGCTTATCCTCGGACTTCTTGATTCGTTTCACAACGAAGCGACCGAAGGTGTCTTGTGCCAACGGTTGCACTGTACCACTTGTGCCTGATTGGGGTCACGCGGCCATGTTGCAATGGGCTCCTGCTCTTATTGGTGTTTCATAACCAGTGTTGTTAGGGGAATGTGATGCAACAATACCTAGCACTCCATGGCCAGCCTCTACTGGTATATGACCCATTAATACTCGGCGTGTAATGCCACTAATTAATTGATATTAATTGATACAATTTGCAGGGGAAGGAGGCATGAACACCCATGCGACAAAGAAAATAAAGAAATCAGGGAGCTTTACTGCAAGCACTACCAGATGTACCAGTACTTTCACACTAATCGAGAGCAACTAAGTAAATTCAAACAGACTGACCCCGCGGAATCCCCCAGAATCGAGGTCCAGTCATATCACATCCGAATCCGGGGGCCTCCTGCTACCTCCTGCTCTTGTGCTACTATGAAAAGTCCCACGGCAGCTGCACCTTCGCCCAAAATGGGGCCCAAAGGCACTTCCAAACTAAGGACGTCCATAAGTGCAGGGCCTGCTGAGAGGCACAATTTCACCACAAGGGGCAAATGTGAGCAGCTTTGCTTGGATTGTCCAGGGATACAAACTTTAGCCCACACAGTGAATGATTTGCACAAACAAACAGTCAGTCTTATAACATCTTGTTACCTCGCAGGCATGGATCCTGTCCCCAAGGGGGACGAACTTTAGAAGATAACACGTGGACATGAACAAATCCGGGATATGAAACAGCAAAGAAGACGCACGTGCTTGACAGTGCTTGACAAGTGGCACACACTTTA